ACAAAAGTCAAGTAAATGCTGTAATCAATGACATTTGGCAATGCACTATAGTACAAAAAAATAAGGCTGGGTGTGAAACAGACCGTGCTTAGATGCAATACTGATCTGACAGCTCGTTTGTAAGACATTTGCGAAAAACTATTATCTTCCTGACTGCCCTATATTTCAGTAGGCACACAAGTCAGGGCTTCCTCTGCAAATATTTAGTTTTCCTGTCATTGCCTCCGCTAAGGAGGTTATGTTTTTGGTATTGTTGGTTAATTGGTTATCAGGATATGATCGTGAACCGCATCCTGCGCAGAATTTAAAAATTAATGAACATATCTTTATGATCTTCACACTAGACGTGTGTCTAAGTCCAACTTAGATGCCATTAGATTTTGATGGTGATCCAGATCATGTTCCAGATGCAAGAACTTTTCTTTGTTTGTTCATTGGATAGTTGGTTGGTAAGATAACTCAAAGTTTTAACATTTTTTAATGATTTTCTTTACTAGAGGTGTGTCTTGGCCTGACTTAGATGCCATTAAATTTGGGTGGTGATCCGGATCATGATCTAGATCCAAGAACTTTCGCTTGTTTGTTGGATAGTTGGTGAGCAGGATGACTCGAAACTTTTTAAAAAATCTTCTGCAATTTTTTTTTAACCAGAGGTGTGTCTTAGCCTGACATAGATGCCATCAAATTTTGGTAGTTATCCAGATAAAGGAATTTTTGTTGGTTGGTTGGTTGGTTGGTTGGTTAGTTGATTAGCAAGATAACTCAAAAGGTTATGAACAGATATTTATGAAATTTTACTAGAAGCATTTCTTAAAGCGTTTTAAGCAGGAAAATTTCTTGCCTAAAATCTCAACTTTTATTTTTCTTTCTTTCTTTCTTTTTTTTGGGGGGCTATCTCAAGATTTTTTCTTGCCTTCTCAAAAGACCCCTTAGATGGCAAGACTTTCGCTTGCTAAGTCAAACGGTGTCCTGTCACCATGCCGTTGGTCAATAACTCCGCTCAATATATTGTCTGAGGAATTACTTTTTTACGGTTTCTGTCTCTGTAATTTCCATAAAATTATATTTAAAAAATATGAAATTAATTGAAAACGAAAGGTTTGTGTAGATTGTGGGAATGAAAAGGTTTTAATTCATATACCATTATAAAATTTACTTTTAAACTCCTCCTCTTTCTAAACCGATAGTATACCTACTATTCAATGAAATAGAAAATAATCAAGTGGAAAAGTCTCAAAACTTCTAGCAACATTCTTCTGTTGATATCGTAATATCATTATCATTTTCAATTTCATAAAATTGTATATATGGAAATGGGCAGCCTATACGTTAATTCAGTTACTCATTTGGTTTGATAGTGCGTCAGAGTGTAAGAGCTGCCAAACAGAAATTTGTGTCACTCTTTTAGAGGTAATGTATATGCAAACAAGAGAAAATATTATGCTTCGTAAAGATGTTTGGGTGCGTTATGGAAGATAATTAAGTTTAAGAGTAAAATTTTTGGGTCCTTAACGGTGAGCCACCAGACAGATCATTTGTTAATGTCTAAATCCCTGTGACAGATCTGATCAATCTGCACTAGCCACATTTAGGGCTTCCCTTCCCAGAGGTATCTCTAAAGATAGCCCGGTGGGTGCTAATGTCCCCGGGGTGTTGAGCTTGGTACCCTGACAGCATGAGTTGGCAGTCCTGGATTTTGCTGTAGGTTGTAAGGAGTCTACAACTGAACTCATGATGCTACTCTACAATGATTCACAGCATATGGATATGGTTTATTGAGAAATTGCCAAGAGTGAAAGCAGATTGTTCTGGTTTCTGGTGCCTCAGTACATCTCAGAAGGATATGAGCAAGAACTCTCTTTAGCATGCTAAGCAGTGCCATGCCTTAGTAACGACAGCAGTTCTAACAATCCCGTTTTCTCTTCTAGAAAAACTTCACCATGCCCTTTATCTGGTCTGGGGTATTGTATTGGACAGCCACTGACTGGCCAGCCAAAATGCAAATCCCGTGGCATAAGTTCACCACTATTTCTTTAACAGTTCAGCAGGGATGCTTCAAATTCCCTCTGTTTTACCACCCTTCAGCGTAAAGATCCCCTCCTTTACTCTGTCAGGGAAGGAGGTTTCTTGCTGATGAGCAGATCTAGCAATGGAATTACGACACCACTTGTGCTCAGCCTCCAAGAAGGTAATAAGTAGGCCCTAGATGACCTCATCTGCTTTCCCTGAATTTTCGGGAGTAAGTAATATTGATACTGTTATTGTTATTATTGACATTATAATTGTTATGTTAATAAAATATAAAGTTGAAAAAGATATAAAAAATAATCTTTCTGACAAACAAGAAAAGAGTAAACAGATGAGATAGGTAGGATTAGTAACTGACAAGATTAGTAATATAAAAGTTAGCATGTACATTAGCATATGTGATTAAGGATTAAGAAGGATTTCCAAATATTGCATATAACTACAGGATTACAGTAAAATAAAAAACATTGCAGTCTCATGTTCCTTTTTTATTGGATACATACAAATACTTTTAGGAAAAATAAAAATGATGAACAAAGTCAGTAAAATTGACAATAAGAATGGCCAAGTTTCAAATAATATTGAAAATTCTTTTGAACATCATAAGGAGCAAAATAAAAAATCTAATCTTAAATCTAGTGCATCTAGACAATATACCTAAATAACCTTCCAGTATAGTCACAATCTAGCAAAATCTGCTGTAACTTTTTATTGCTCCAAACAATAAAAAATATGTTATTTGTCGTCTAAGTTATTTTACTTACGCAAAAAATTGGAATCCATGTGGCCTCCACCTTTCTGAAGTGACCCAATGCGTGACTTCACTCGGTCCTGGATGGAACTGCTTGATGCACTCAGCACATGGCTTCTGAAATATGAGAATTCATCATTTGAATTTGTTTATGTGCCAACATCTAAGCTCATCAAGTGCATTCTGAAACATTTTATGGTATCATAGTGAATTCATGCCTTGTTATATTTGAAAAACTGATTGCTTTGTCAAAGATAAACACTAATAAAACTTACTATCTTTAATCTAAGTGGCAATTAGAATTTTTAAAATTATTAACTGATGATAACATTAATGGTAAAAATAATTAACATAGTCTAACAGTAATTACTTTAAAAACTTTTCTGCATTTTCCTCCATCTCTTCCTCTTTCTTCCGCTCTTCCTCATAGCGCTGGATGTTATCCTTCCTGTCCTGATCTCGCTTCCTTGCAGCATCCATCATCTCTTGTCTTTTCTTTTCCATTTCTTTGGCAGTCAGCTTCGGCTTGCCCCCGTATCTATGATGCCCGTTTGATGCTCCATCTCTTGACCTTTCCTGGTCTCTACTGTTTCTATCCCTACTTCTGCTCCTGCTCCTGCTTCTGCTATGGCCTCTGGACTTTCTGTATCTATCATCCCTTCTTCCTCTCTCCCTGCTCCTATCTCTGCTTCTGCCTCGTCGGTCTGATGCAAAGTCATTGCTTCTTTCTCTTCTTCTATCCCTGCTCACTCTCCTCATCTCCTCTCTATCTCTGTCCAGTTCTCTGTTCCTTTCCACATAACCATCTCCTCTCCCAGTATCTCGGTGTTTAAAGGACTTCCTGGATCCTCTGTCTGGACTGTGCTCCTTCTCAGTGCTTCTTCCAAAGCCTTTTTGCATTGAGGTCTGAATTCCTTCTCTGTCTGAATACCTATTATGTCTAGTACTTGTATCTTGTTCACTTTCTGATTCTTCCTTCTTCTTGGATTTCTTCTTTTCAGACTGAAAATAGAGAAATGTTCATCAATAAACAATTTTTTTATTCTGCTGCATTTCTGAAGTTTTTTGCATTGGTACTCTCTCTATATGCCTCCAACTAGCCATCATCGCTGTTTTATGTACTGTCCGCTGTAGTTTTTATTGTGAATTTGGTTACTTAAAGCTGGCTCCACAAGTGTTTAGCCACTGTAGATTAATAGGCCTTACTGACAATTTCCAAATTCTTTTAGTTTGTAGGATTTCCCCCCCCCCAATTCTGTTAATAAAAATACATCAGTCATAATCAACATAATTGACATTAAAATTATTACAATGTTGTCAAATATTAATAATAATAAAAATCAAAGAGAATCTTCCCAAAAATCAAGAAAAAGGGTAAATAATAGACTCTTTGGTGACTAAATACTTGAGGAAGCATCTATGCATAAGCACTATTAATAAAACTAAATTCAGAGGGCATGAAATGCATATCATGCAATCTGTTACCATTGGGTTAACAAAATAAGACAAATACTTACATTCTTTTTAGCTTTCTTTTCCTTTTTCTTCAGTTTTCTTTTCCTTTCCTCATCTGAGCTATCACTGGTTTCACTTTCACTAGCTTTCTTCTTTTTGCTTTTCTTTTTCTTCTTCTTCTTATCTTTCCGTTTCTTTCTCTTTTCCTTCTTCCTTTTCTCATATTCTGAATCGGATGAATCACTACTGCTGCTGCTGCTCTCACTGCTAGAGCTACTGCTTGAGGACCTTTTCTTTTTCTTCGTCTTTATTGCTGATATCTGAATATGGAAACAAGATTACAACTTTGCAGAATGTAATATCACATAATTTCTAAAATCATAAATTGCCTTCATGTGACTTGCAAAAAAACATAATCTAACCAATATAACAAATAGACTACATGTTTAATATTTGAAAATGCTTAATATGCACAAATATGCTCTACATGTTTTTCATCAACAGAATGCGATAAATTTACCAAACTGCGTGGTATAGGATGGGGGTATGGAGTGCGGGTGGGGATACAAAACAAAGTGGGTGTTCTCCGGGGCTTAAATCTTTACAGAACTGGTTGATTTTCTTTTTACCAATAAATATTAACTGTAGCCTTGGTGTATAAGACCTTGGCACACACCTTGTCTAATACCCTCTACTGATCTTGGATATTTTCGTAGAATGTAAACGGCAAGAAAGAGCCAAGGGTTTTAAGAAGGGGTTAGTTCCAAGGTAGCACAAGTGGTGATAAATCTTTATTGAATATTTCTCGGTTTCAGCTAACTGGTATTCTACAGTGCAGTAACTGCTCTAACTCCATACTGCAATCACTTCTAAACTTGTATGCTGATAATTATGAGTAAAGTAGCCTTTGAGAGGCAATTTTACTACTCCTGTGATGGTTTCATTTAAGCATTCCAAGTTAGGCCACAGGAATTTTTTTTTCTTGAATAGCATAACTGCCGACATTTATTTCCAGAAAAAAAAAAAAATCAAATTTCCCGCCGATATTGTGACGTCTGCAAAAGATATAACAAAAAAAAAGAAAGAAATACAAATCAATTTGTCTATGATTCATTGTGTATGGTATCATTGCTCCTATCCCTAAAACAAAAATAAAATATATTTGGCGGAAATACCTTACTCTCATCCATCATGTCAGGTCTATTGTCTATTGTGTCCATGGTCAGTGGTCGTTCCTGATCAGTATTGGCGTATTTCTCATATGTGCAGAGAACCTGCACACTAGGATGTAAACTCACATTCAAACATCAAAACAAAAATGCTTGTTTTCTTGTTTTTACACTGAATTCCATTTCATATACAGAAAGGAAGTCCTTTTTCAACCTGTACAAAGTAGCAAAGTACATATATGTCAATTCTTTATGAATATCTTTTATTTTGATTTCCAAAATAATAAATTCTGGTTGAAAGAATTCTCTGTCTGTTTTCATTCAACTTCCTCCAGGTGAGGCTGGAACTGATAGATTCCTTTACGTCTGATCTTTCTTTCTTTCTTTCATACTCTTTTTTTTTTTTTTTTTTTTTTTTTTTTTTTTTTTTTTTTATGCTGCTGCCTCCCACCGACATTTCATTATCACCAGACTTGCTCGCTATTCAAGAAAAAAAATGCTGTGGCCTTATGAATAAATAAATAAATAGAAATCAGAACGATACCTCTGGTAACAACCGTCATGGCTGTATCACATTCTAAAATAAGTGATCTAAAATAGGCCTAATCAAAACATCTGTGTTTTCTCTTGGTTGCTGAAATCTAAAGTCTTTCTTGTTCCAAAGGCAAGGATGAAAGTTGATACTTATATACCTTTACTAGAATTATGTCATTCTGATGAAAATGTAGACAATATCCAATGTTCACTGCATGCTTTGCTTTGAAGAGTTACTAATTCTTATATATATATATATATATATATATATATATATAATATATATATATATATATATATATATATATATATATATATATATATATATATATATATATATATATATATATATAAATATATATATATATATATATATATATATTATATATATATATAATTTATTTATTTATTTTATTTATTTTATTTATTTTATTTATCTTATTTATTTTTTTATCAGTCAGTCAGTCAGTCAGTCAGTCAGTCAGTCAGTCAGTCAGTCAGTCAGTCAGTCAGTCAGTCAGTCAGTCAGTCAGTCAGTCAGTCAGTCAAGTCAGTCAGTCAGTCAGTCAGTCAGTCAGTCAGTCAGTCAGTCAGTCAGTTCAGTCAGTCAGTCAGTCAGTCAGTCAGTCAGTCAGTCAGTCAGTCAGTCAGTCAGTCAGTCAGTCAGTTAGTTTGTTAGTTAGTTGTGCAAAAATGAACTCGGACAACACCATTTCTTTCTCTTTGAAGTTCTAATTCACACCATAATTACAGAGACATCACCATCTAACAAACAAATTACACTTAAAAAGACTAAGGTTTGTAACTTTCAAAACAAGAGGATCACAGACATCACAACATGAATATCTGAGTCTTACAAGTTGCTGAAGTTGTTTCATCTTGACTGGATTGTCTGTAATTTGACGTCTGGTGGCTTCTTCATTCTGGCGGATCAGCAGAAGAGGATCTTCCATAAGTTTCCTTTTCATGTCTACCTGCATGTTTCCATCCCGACGCACTACTGACTCTGGGTTGATCTCTGAAAATTGACAGTGAGAAATAAAGTTGATCTCCATTATATAATCTGAAAAGCTATACATATTCTGTAATACAGCATATAAAAAAGTTATACATAATATGAAAAGCTATATATAATCTGTTTTATTTTATACATGCATATTTCCTATTTCATTTAAAAAAAAAAAAAAAAAAAAAAAAAAAAAAAAAAAAAAAAAAAAAAAAGTAAGCAAAGGTCAAATCAGAAGTAACATATATTTCTGAAAAATTTATTCTGTCCACACACCGTGCTCTATTGTGTAAGCAGGTTTGCTGCTCTGTGGGGCTTCATTCGCACTGCCCATGTCTTCCCTTCCCTCCTCATTTTCCATCTTTACCATCTGCTCAAAGGCAGTGTCAATCTTGCGTCCGAGCAGGTACTCTTCACGACTCACATGTCCACCAGGGCCCTAAGGGAGAGAGGCATGTCGGAAATCAATGAAGTTTGGTCTATGACATCTACTAATGGTACAATCTTACTACTATAAAGTTTTACATTAATAAATTGCCAGTTATATCTACTGAAGAATAGGTCTCAAAGAATTTGGTTGAAAAAAAACTTTTATTTTGGCTGAAATCATTGTCATTATCCTTTTTTTTTTTTAATAATGAGAGTTGAAATACATCACACAAATTCTTCCATACAGAGATGTGCAATATCCAAATATCAATGAAGTAAAACAAATAAATAAATGAGTAAATAAATAAATAATAAAAAAATTAAACACAAAAATAATGCAGATGCATCTGTATCTACACAGGAAGTTACATTTCTCTATAATATACTTAGGCCTATAAATGAAATATACATGTTCATCTATCATAACTTTCTTACCTTATACATCCAATCTAGTTTAGCATCCCCCTTCTTTTCCACGGCTCCAGATTCTTCTGCTGTTCTTTGGAGGAATTCTCTTTCTCTTTCTTCCTTTAGTTCCCGCTGCAATTCTGCCATTTTGCGGTCCTCTTCTGCTTTCTGCTGTTCTGCCTTCCATACTCGCTCCTGGTTCTTCAAAGTGCTTGGATGCCATGACTTTTTCAAATTCTGGAAAAAAAAAAAAAAAAAAAAAATGGTTATCTACCTTTTTCATGCCACAGCCTTGATAAGAATCTATTATCTATGATTCCTGTGAAAACTTATTATTTATCTTCTCCCTAGGTAGCATTAACTTCATCTCATTAACTTACACTAGCTTTCTTATCAAATCACTAATTAATGTATTGTGTAAGTGGTATCATATGTCTATTTTGCCAAATAATTGTTAGTATTTCAAACATTTAACATAATTGGGAACAGTATGCCCTAAAACAGGTTGCTGTCATGTGGCAGTTAATCAATGAAACAATTAAATCCTTGATAATAATTATATTAATTACATTTTCTTTTAGCAAGATAGTGTTAATATTTATTTTCTTAAAATAAAAGCAAAATGAATTGAACACAATTTACTAAAGAAAAAATGTGCAGATATCCACAGACTAAGATATAATAATATTCATATGATATACATATTAAATCTAAATTAATCATATCTGTATGAATGTAACATAGCACTAAGCATATAATACTTATGATTTCAAGATTAAGGAAAAAATTTACTTCCTATATCATATAAAACATTTATTTCACTTTGTGCATACCATATAGTTCTTATCATACAAGGTTATGTTTTGCAATTTCTGACAGAGCAAGTCAAAAACTTGAAATGAGGTCCAGTAAAAGCCATGCCTTAGGAATAATTCCTGAACTCACACATTGTGACTTTGTATATTTTTAGACTATAAAAGATCATGTCAAACATATTTCAAAAGCTTCTACTAAACCTAGTCTGAAATTCAAAATAATTTTCATAACAATTTATTATTTTAATTATCATTTTAATCATGGCAACCCTAATTATAAGTAAAATCATTTTTCCTAAACGGACTGCATCCGTCTAAGATGAAGAACATACTACTCCAGTCAACAAGCTCCGAGATTCCTAGGCGGGATTTCATATTTTGAGTGAAAACAAAATATGAAATAAAGTGGAAACAGAAACGTCTAAACTGAGATCCAGTCAATTAGGATCTGCAATGGACCCTATCCTACACACAGTGCTCCTTATTTCCCCTCCTGATAGTCATATATATCTAGCTAGTGCTCTCAGACCCCCTACTGAGCTGTGCATGTGAAGAGAATCTGTGAAAAGAATCTGATGATTTTTATCAAGTATGTGCAGCTGGAACAGAGTTACTGCACTTTAATATGATCTGTGAGGTTGTAACAATTCCAGTGTGAGTTCATTTTTACCAAATTATTGTGGAATAATTATGAGAAAAACAAAGTTGCACCATCAATAAAGGAAAATTTGAAAATTAAATCATGTGGTACTGATACATTTCTGTCAGTGTTAAACCCTCAAATGTATAATCTCAGTAAAAGTTTGCAACATGATCCTAACAAACACATGAAATTGAGTAAAATACAAACTGTACTGCATTAATTGTTTGATATTATTGGAAAAAGGCGTCACCACTGAATCAACTAAAACTAACCTTATGGCCTTGAAGATATTTAATTGTCAATCACTTTTCATTAAATAAACTTGTCTCGCAAATTAATAATAATGAAGTTATTCAATTATCAGAATAAATAAAAATAATAATAAAACGAGGTGTGATTCACACAGGAGCTGAGGGAATACTGACCAAAAGCTCCACTGCACATGCAAGAGGTCTCTTGTACCCGTAGTGCTCCTGTTATCTCGCCTGTGACATCACAGCCAGTGTCACGATTTCTTTGATCAATTGTTTGGCAGTTAATTTACTAACCAATGGGGAAAGACTTCATGAGGGAAACAGCCAATGAATGAACATCAGCTAAAATAGAGGCTATGAAATTCAATTTTCAAATTAGTCTCGCCATGACTTGTGTGTGTAGGATGTCGTATCAAACCATTCCAAGTTATAAAAAATCATTCTGAAGACGATGAGGCTAGCTTGAAACTATTATGTGAACACGGAGTGCTACCCTCTGAAGTGCCTT